TACCATGAATGGAGGAACTTCCAATGCTGGATCAATCAACAATGCTTCTTGATACTTGTTACAAGTGCTATCCTCTACAGAGAATAAACTCTTSCCCCAAAGACTGAGTGATTGGGTAAAGGACAGTTCATGGTCAGTGTGACAGTRTTTTGCAATATTYTTCATCATTACACTCTGTTTCTTTGCAAACTCTTTCTTGTAWAGTCGAAACCATTCCCAAGGAATACTCACCAAAAATGTAATTATCAATAGGAAGCAAAACTGTTGACGGATAGTTAAACGTGTTCTCATCTCAAACAACACAACGCTACTCGCAACAAACAGCAAAAACACAATGRCAAACAAGTTGACAATGTCAAACTTTTCCTTAATGTAAATCCAATAGTTCTCCTGGAATGTTTCTTTGAAAGTCTTCTCTGCAATGCTGTTCTTTACAATATCAACAGTGTCATGGATGTTTGCCTGGTCATCTAGAAAGTTCCTCAGAACATCCCTGTTCTCAGGAGTCAATTTGATTTCTGTGTAAGGATTTGTATCAGAGGTTGACTTTAACAGAGCTTGGACAATCTGTTTCAAATGTGGAGAGCTGCAAATAGGTGTCTGTTTAGGTGGACTTTGACCTGGATAGGATTGAAGTTCCTGTTTACACTTACTTAGTTGGTCTTGAATATTTTGAAACGCTGAGACTAAGTTGTCCTCATGATTCTGGAAGAACAAGAAAAACAATCAAAGTTCAAGCTTCACTATCCCTGGAGAATAGACATCTGCAAACACTGAGTGAAAAGCAAAACCTGTCTCATCGCGAGCAATTCATTCTCGAGCATTCATTGCTTGATTTCATACCGTTACCGAAGAAGTAGGTTTTGGGCGAATTGGACTGTCGTATGCCATATTATCTGGGTCAATCCAATGTTTAGTTGATACGGGTTCTTCGCTGAAAACATCCTCATTTTCCTCGGCAGCTTTCTTCTTCTTCTTCATATTTTTCTGTCCATTTATTGCCGTAAAAAGCAGTAAAATGAATAATAGCTGTAAAAAACGCCTCATTTCCGTTAAATTAGGGGTACAGAGGGTAGAAAAGCTTGRCAAGTGCACATGTGAGTTGATCAGTCCTGTTTTTTTGGTTGACACTTTCAACACTGCACTGCAAGATGACTTCCAATCGTTCCCAGGTAAGAGCTGGGATGCCTATGGCTAAATAACACAGGGAACCCAATATATATTTTGATTTCTTTAGRCCTGATTGCAAGAGCGTTCAATGCCGGAATGTTTTTTTTTTTGAATGAAAAAAAAGATAAATTCTAAATAAGAATCAAGATTTTACGTGCAGTTTTTTTATATTTGACATTGCAATCTAAGTGCTGTAGGAAGGGAGGCTGTAAAAATACCCCTGAGGATAATGGGTCTCAAATATTTTTACTTGACATCGTATACTATCAAAAGATCATTTTACTCAAAAGAGTCAAAGGGGATTTCATTGTCTGGGGGACGGCGGCAAATCACTAGCAGCAGAAAACAGATTTAGCACAATCTTTAAACACCAGGTATGGCAATTACTAGACATTGTAACTATAGGTAAAACTACAGCAAAAAGCTTGGAAGGTTCTTTTTTGTTCTTTTAGCCATGCGATATTCTCAAACTCTTTTACTGTATTAAGAAGCTTGTCTGACGCAAAAGGAATGAAACTATTGCACATTTTATGTAGTTTAATTGTAATTGTTTGATTGATGTATATCATATTTTTGTACGCCCAAACCAGCGTTATTTGTGTTCATGGGTAGGTCATTCTTGCATAACTAGCTTCTAAGAAAGCTACAATTGTAGTCAATTCTCACTTTGGCAGGTTTCCAATGTACGGAGTTCTATTTGACTGAAATTTTCCAGCTGATCGATAGCATAGATCATTGTAAACTACAAAGGGACGTTGTTCATATGACATAAACGTCATAAACTAGCTTTATCATTTATGTATAGTTTACAACATAAGAGATTGTAATTCCTATACTGCAAACACGGACGCAAACAACACACACACAACAAAACACACTATTGTTGTATCAGATKTACAAGGTCAATCGCCAGACCAAATAGACAGCCCTTRTTGGTGCAATAGTTGTAAGTCCAAGAGAYCATGCAGGCACCTCTATTCATGARTCAATCACTAATCATTCCTGTCGATCATGTTTCTAGGCAACCGTTGTTATGGTAGTCACGAAGTCACTACTGACGTCTACCGTCCTGGCCATTTTGGTCCAATCAGCCTACGCATCGGCGTCACGTGGTACAAAACTATGCCAGCTTCCTCCCATGTGGGAAGTAGATGGTTTAGACCCTGTCGCTGATGCGCGCATGCGTGGTGATGTAACAGTTYTGACGCTGTTAGTGTCCTACTGATCCTTCTGTCAGAGRCAAGCTCGTAAACTTGAAGCTATTCGGCATTACTTCTTGAATTTGAAGAGCTTGCATAAGATGAAAGGCGGCGTATCGTTCATGGTTTTGAATGGTCGTAAGGCCGTCCGTACTTTTGGTTGGTATAATGGTAAAWTAGGGTTCCCTGCGTATCAAGAACCCAAGAAAAAAAGGTATTGGGAGATATTGAATGGTGCCAAAGACGATATCATCATTTATGATCGATGTGGAAGGTTGTCTGCTCATGTAAAGATGCCCTGGAGTGACTTGAGTCGTTATAACATCGTGCAGTAAGTAACATTATTAGTTGTTTTGCTTATAGCTTTGAAGTTTCAGGATCAGGACATGCTTTCTGACAAGCAATATTTCCACGATGTCTTTAGATGAATTTTAAATTATCGAAAGCCCATTTAATCGGGATTTGATATCTTTACAGGAGGGAGTTGTTTAATGCGTTGACTAATAGCGTCTGTGGGAGCTGTGCATCGCCATCTCCAACGACGTCAATGAAAACAACAACGACCAGGCCAACGACAAAGAAAAGTCTGTGGGAGCTGTGCATCGCCATCTCCAACGACGTCAATGAAAACAACAACGACCAGGCCAACGACAAAGAAAATGACAACAACCAAACCAACGACAAAGAAAGCGACAACAACCAAGCCAACGACAAAGAAAGCGACAACAACCAAGCCAACGACAAAGAAAACGACAACAACCAAGCCAACGACAAAGAAAATGACAACAACCAAGCCAACGACAAAGAAAGCGACAACAACCAAGCCAACGACAAAGAAAATGACAACAACCAAGCCAACGACAAAGAAAGCCACAACGCCGATGATAACGACAAAGAAAACGACAACAAAGATTTAAAGAAGAAAAGAAAGAGATCAAAACCAGGAAAAAGACCAACGACAATAGGGACAACGCCCATGTTAACGATGAAAACACAGTCGATAGTCAGTCTAGTCATCTATATTGATTTAGAGGATACATAGAATAACGAATGATCTTTTTAATAAGTGCATAAGTGTATCGAGACAAAGTTTTATTCATCA